TATATATATATATATATATGAAGAGGATTCAAATGACACTGATATAACTTTTATTAAGTATTACATTGCTCAATAACTTTATATTAAATGTGAATTTTGTAAATCTAACCGTTAGATTGAAAATTCTAATCATTTTATATGTTTATATTATATTTTCGTTAAAATTGAACATAAGCTTGAACGTAATCAAAGTGTTTATATTTTTATTATATTTTGAAATGTATATATTACGTCAATTTTGTTTTATAAGAATGAAGTATTAAATCATTTTGGATTAATATAAAATTTTGCATATATGATCTAAGAGTAAATAATTTTCAATCTAACGGTTAAATTTATAAAATTCACGATTAATATAAAATTATTAAGAGATGTAATATTTATAAAAGTTATCAATATCGTTTGAACCCTTTTCATATATATATATATATATATATATGTAGGTTCTAAAGACTTATTTAATCTTTAGAGACTAAAATTCACATTTTAGAATATTTTCAAAGATTAAAAATATATTTTAAAACAAAAATAAAAGTAAAAACAAAGCACATAAAATAAATTGTTTTTATTTAAAAAAAATGAGAACGAGAAAGTTTGAACTAAGAACCCAAAACGAGTCGAGGAGCTTTAGAAAAGTAAAAAAAAAAAAAAAAAAAACTTAAATCCGTAGCAAACGAACGCCATTACCGAACGTAGAAAACTTAAATCCGTTGGAATTAACAGACTAAGATGATAGTCATTTCCGCACATCGGAACAGAGATGAGAGGAAAGGTTAGAGCGTGAGCGGATCCAGATCTGATCTGAGTTGAAAACCACCGCGATTCGATTTGCGTTGCGGAGAATGGAGTCTGCATCGGAATCGGAGATGGCGCTTCCTCTTCCCCTTGCGTCGGAGTCACAGCAACCCTACGTCTCCGAGCTTCTTTCCTTCACGCTCGATCGCCTCCACAAGGAACCCGAACTCCTCCGCGTCGATGCCGACCGCATTCGCCGCCAAATGCAAGAGGTTGCCGTCGGGAATTACCGCTCATTCATCGCCGCCGCCGACGCCTTAATCGCCATTCGCAAGGAAGTCTCCTCTATTGACAACCACCTTGAATCTCTGGTTGGTACTGGAGCTTTTTGTTTTCGTTTCTTATGTTTCAATTTTCTCACCTTGTTTCTGTTGGATTTGAGCTTTGATGTTGCGGGTTTGCTTATTGTTGATAATGTACTGTGGAATTGGATGGAGTATAGTGTAGTTGTGGTGCTTTGTTCATAGTTTTAGTTGCATTTCGTTGGGTTGGGATTAGTCTAGGCGATTGGGTTCAACTTAGTGTAAAGTGTTTTTTCATTTTAAGGAGGTTAGTAATAGAATTTTGGTTAGAAAAGTAGAGGACATGTAGAGAAGAATGGGATTTGTATTGAATATCACTTTTTCAATCTGAATCATCATGGTAGTAGAACCAAGAGCCTGTTTGGGTTCTAAGCAGCTTAGAAGAGACGACGAGAGTTTTTCTATTGAAAATAAAGATTTTTTTTTTTTTTTTTTTTCCTGTTAGAAAAACCTTCAAAAGTTCTTCTAAGTTTGTATTTAAAGAGGCTCCAAGAGGAAAACTTAAATTAGAAACAAGCATCGCAGAGAACAATCTCTCGTACTTCAGGAGATTCTGAGTCTCCTCGTTCTTCCACCCAACCTCTACTCCAAATCTAATCTAACCTTTATTATTTTCCTCCCAATGTTCACACTCTGTCATCTCTCTCTCTTTCTCTCTCTTTTTCTGATTTGTTTATGACTTATTAATTTACTGTTACTGTTATTACAGTTGAATTTTGACCCTGGTTTTTTTTTTATAACTGTAACTAACCCAAGTTCTAACTTCATGTGCTCACCCTTATATATTCTTCCTAAAATACAACTTTCAGTTGGGGGTTTAGTTATAATTCTGCACCAAAATTTTCATCTGTGCTCAAGGTAAAATTCAAGAAAATTCTTCAAAATAGTGGCAACTGCTTTATCAGAATTCTTAAAATCCAGAAGATCTTGATCATGAATAAATAATTCAGCAACTTCAGAATGATGATCTCGGATAGCCATGGCATCAGCTGCACCTTCAGCCCATCTGTCACCCAGGGTGATGTATATTCCTTTAGGAGAGAGACATGAAATAGACACTCCTTCCTTTGGGGGGGGGGGGGATTGGAGCTGATAGGAAACGTTGTTAATAATCTTAAATGGGACATAAGATCCCAGGTTCAGCTTCTCATTGATTTTGTTAGCCAATGATCTAAGTTACACGACTGAAATTTTAAGATAAACCCAGTTCCAAGCTGGTTTTCCACATTTCTGCATTGCTTGGTTGTTGGTACCAACCATAGAAATAACCCAGTCCAAAAATGACCAAGGATAATTTCTTTCTGCCCAGAGACCATGTGGCATGAAAAAAATGTAATCAGTCTACTTCTTGAAGGAAAACCTATGGTTTATAACATAGTTATGCCTCAAAGTTGTGGATGAAAAGGACATGGTAGAAGCTTTAGTGGCTGGAAATAACCTCAGTACTTCTGTGCAATATTCAATAGAGACAATGATCTATTATAGTTTTGAAACTTCTTTAAGCAGAACACAAAGTGGCAGAGGTGGAACTCCTTTAAGAAGCTACAGGTTAATCAAATATTTTATTGCTTTGATAAGTTGATAAGTGAGCTATTGGACTTTGTGAAAAAAGGCTCGCTGACTACTTGTTTAACCCAATTCATGAGAATAGGGGCCCAACGTGAACTTGGGGGCTGGGAGCTGGTGGTTAAGGATGCATTTGGAAGATCTTATCCTTAAGCTGTTTTCAGCTACTTTCAATAACCTCTTCATGATAGTTTATGAAAACAGCTTACAACTAGCATGTAAATAACTTAATCCTATTTTTTCTTCGATTATAGAAACAACTTATACACCAATGCTTACATGATAAAGCACATTTAATAAGCGCTTTATTAAACTTTTTAACCAAATGCACCCAGTTCAATACCCGCAAAGAAAAATCTTACATATTGTAATTACTAATTATAAAAAATTTAAGGATGGGGAAGGTCCATACCTGCTTCCCACAGCACCCGTCTTTGTTTCTACCCATTTGTATGAGTGCTATCTACTTACTGTTACTGTTATTACACTTGAGCTGACCCTGTTTTGTTTGTAACAGATACCAACCCAAGTCCAATCCCTTGTGCGCACCTTATCACTCTTAACATACACCTTTTTAATAGGTCTGCTAACAGTTTCCTCAACAGACATGTAGAGAGATTTGAATGCTTTACTTCTTCATTGTTTTATCTTGTTCTTTATTTAATTTTCCCAGCTTTTTTGAAATAATTTCCTTCTCTTTGTCACCATGAATTTCTTTGAGTGAGTACAAGTTTGTGTGATTATAAACATTTGACATTTGAGTATTTATCTCCTCTATCTCAGATAAATGAGATCCCAAAGCTTACATCTGGATGCACTGAGTTCATAGATTCTGCCGAGCAGATTTTGGAGAAGAGGAAGATGAACCAAACAATGCTATCTAATCACAGTACTTTGCTTGACTTGCTAGAAATTCCTCAACTCATGGACACGTATGTTTAAAAAGATAGATTATTTAGTTACACTTGTGGAATAATTTCCATATACTGATGTTCTTACATAATATGATGAACACTTCCTCTGTGAGAAGCCTTGTAAATTCCTATGTTTTTGCAGATGTGTACGAAATGGGAATTATGATGAAGCCCTAGATTTGGAAGCATTTGTAGGCAAACTTTCAACCATGCATCCGAAGTAAGTTTATATGCTTCTTACACGCTATTACAAGTAATATAACATTAAATATGTAACAATTGAGAATAGATTTCCCAATTGTTACTACACCACTCTTAGCTCTCAAGAGCAACGGAGGAAACAAACTTATATTTTTTATTTATGAATCATCAAAATTTACACAAGGGTGTTTATTTATAACCCTTGATTCCCAATACAGCTGTGTTTTTCCCCAGATAACCACTAACTTCTATCTTTAGAAGCCTGACCAACAATTTTGGCAACTAACAACTAACGATTTTTCTCAAAATAATAAGGAAACTAACTTTGCTAACAGGCCCCTAATTCCGCTTATTACAATTGTCCCCCCCCTCCAAAAGGACTTGTCCTCAAGGCCTTATAGCATGCCAATGAAAATTTGGAAATTGGTGTTGCATAGTGTGTAGTTCCTTCCAAACTACATTTTCGAGGTTGGTATGCTACCATTGAATCAGCACCTCAGTAGCAACTCGATTGCCCTTTTTCTTCATTCTTCTATCTAAAACCACCAGTAGCTATGGCTAAACTAGGTCTCCACATTGAAACTCCTTGTCTACCTGCCTGAGATCAGCTCTAAACTAGGTCTCCACTTTGTGTAAATTGTCTTGCAAAAGTTTGGCAATTTGCTCTCTTGTTCTCATAGTATAAGCAACTACTTTGACTAATGAATCATCCTGCATTGCAACATTTGGCATTGATGGAGGATAGCCGTATAAAGCTTCAAATCGTGACATCTTGGTTGTTGTGTGGAATTTAGTGTTGTACCATAACTCTGTTGAAGAAAGATGCTTTGTCCACTTCTTTGGTAGGTCACCAGTTACACATCTTAAATATCCCTCTAAGGCTTTGTTTAGAGCTTCAGTTTGCCCATTTGTTTGAGGGTGGAAGGCAGTGGATCTCAACAACTTAACTTCATGTTGCTTCATCAACTCAGTCCAAAATGCACTTATAAAAATGCTATCTCTTTCAGAAATTATCTTAGATGGACAACCATGCAATTTAACAACAGTATCTAGAAATACTTGTCCTACTTTAGCTGCTCCAAAAGGATGACTAATGGTGTGAAATGAGCATATTTTGTGAATCTGTCACAAACCACAAAGATAACTGTCATGCCAATAGACTTAGGAAGACTAACAATAAAATCCACCGAAATGGATTTCCAAGCTCTATCTGGAATAGAAAGTGGTTGAAGTAACCCAGCAGACATTTGCAATAAAGGCTTGTTTTTCTGACAAGTGATACATTCCTGTACCCATTTTTTGACTTCTTTCTGCAATCCTTTCCAATAAAATTGATCTTTAATTCTTCTGTAAGTTAGGTCATCTCCTGAATGTTCACCCATCATCGTGTTATGGAAATGGTGTAATATTCTTCTTTTTATGTTCTGATCTATCCCAATTACCACTTTACCTTTTCTTCTTAGAATTGTTCCATCAAATGTGTAATGCTTGTATGATCCTTGATGCAACCTTACCTTATATACTATGTTCTGCAATTTTGGATCTGTTCTCCATGAGTTTTTGGCCGCCATTAGCAATTGAGATGTCTTGACAGTGAATCAACCACCACATTGTCTTTTCTTATATTCGATGTTGAAGTCAAGACCCATAAGTTTCTCCAGTCCCCAATTTTGCATCAATGTTGTTGGAGGTTGCTCAAGTAGGTGTTTTAGTGCTTTCTAATCAGTCTTTATCATAAAAGGTTGTCCAAGGAAATAATGTTGCCATTTCTTCACCGCAAATAGTATAGCATAAAACTTCTTCTCATAAGCTGAAAGTAGTTGATTTAATACTTTGGACCCATGGGTTTGGTAATGTAGGCTATTGGATGGCCTTTTTCGAGGAGCACGACATCGATGCCCACTCTTGAAGCATCGGTTTCTATTGTGAAAGGTTGGCCAAACTCTAGTAAAGCCAATACAGGAGCTGATGTTAAAGCTTCTTTTAACCTAGCAAATGCTGTTTCTGTCTCGTCATTCCATCTAAACTCAGTGTCTTTTTTCAATATACATGTCAACGGTTGAGCAATATTTCCATAATTGTGTATAAACCTTCTATAATAGTCTGATAGGCCCAAAAAACTCTCAATTCCTTGACTGTCATTGGTCTTGGCCAGTGTTGATGGGCATGAATCTTACCCGGATCTAGCTACACACCTTTAGAGGAGATCAAATGGCCCAAGTGCTCTATTTTTGTTTTTTCCAAAGCTGCATTTTTTTGTAGTTGAGAACCAAGCTGTGTTCTTGTAAGATTTGGAGGGCAATGTGTAGGCAATGAATGTGATCTGACCATGTCTTTGTGTAGACTAAAATATCATCAAAGAACACCAAAATGAACTTCCTGAGATGCTCCTTGAAGATATCATTCATCAAGTTTTGGAATGTGGCTGGTGCATTGCTCAATACAAAAGGTAAGACCACCCATTCATAGTGTCCATTGAGAGTTTTGAAGGCTATTTTATGAATATCTGCCTCTGCCATTCTTATTTGGTTATAGCCACTTCTTAGATCTAACTTAGAGAAATAGCTTGCACCATTTAATTCATCCAATAGATCTTCTATCAGAGGCATATGAAACCTATTGTTTTATTTTCAAAGCATTTAGTTTTCTGAAATCAGTGCAAAATCTTCGGGAACCACCCTTTTTCTTCACCAACACTAATGGAGATGCATAACAACTTCCACTTTTTCTAATAAAACCAGTTGTAAGCAGGGCCTTAACCTGTCTTTCTATTTCTTCTTTTTGGGCATGTGGGTACTTGTATGGTTTTAAACAGAATGGTTTATTACTGACCAAAGAAATCTGATGATCATACTGCCTTTTTGGAGGTAGAGTTGTGGGCTCCTTGAATAATTGTTGATAGTTCTCTAATAGTTGAGTCAATGCGGATTGTTGGCTATGAGGAAATTTGTGAAGAGCTTCATCCTCTAAATCACTGTAGCAGACTGGTCCTTGAAGTGCCAGCAACACAACTTGACATTGAGCTTGCTTAAGTTTACCTGTTAGTTCACAAATATCCTTTGAAGGATGTTCACCTTGTAGGCAAACCCGTTTTTTGTCATGTTCAAGTTTCATTGTCAATTGGCCATAGTTCCAGCTGATCTCTCCTAGTGTCTTAAACCATTGCATTCCAAGGATTACACCAAAAGCGCTGCTAGGTAACACTAAATAATCAGCTTGAAAAATATGATCATTAAATTTCCATTCGACTTGAGTACAACTTCTAGTAATGAATAACTCTTTATCTGATGCAACCATCACAGGGAAGTTTCTTATGCTTTGGGATTTCAGCTCAAGTGTTTTCACCCAATTGGCACTTATAAAATTGTGTGCACTCCCTGTGTCCATTAAAAACGGCACAACTTGTTTCTTAATCAAGCCTTTCATTTAGAGAGTGTTACCACCAGCCACACCTTGTAAGGCATTAAGGGATATATGGACGTCTGCATCCCTATGTAAATTTAAACTATGCTCGACTAATTCAGTTTCCTGCTCTTCATTTGATTCTGATGTTAATTCAACAACCATTTGCTCTTGTTCACTAAAAATGGCATTTAGCTTACCCCACACCTTACACCTTTGTTTATGATCTTAATCCCATTTATCACCACAAAATCGACATAAACCCTTTGCAATCCTTTCACTAATTTGTTTTCTAGAGATAGAGTTTGCAGTTGATACCTTGGAATCTGTCATTGGTGTTGAGGTTGTAGAACGTTGAGTTTGATTTTGATGCAACGTGGTAATTGGATAACTTCTATTGTTGGGAGAGATAGATGACCACGATCTTGTGTATTTCACCTGTGATTTTAAACTTATTGATTTTCCTGGTGAAAATTTCTTTGCCATTTCTTGAAGCACCTCATCTTGTAATCTTGCAATTTGAATTGCTTCTTGAACGGATGTTGGTCTATGAACTCTTACTGATTTTTCTAGCTCAATGGTCAATCCAACAAGAAAGAAACTCAATGCCAATTCTTCAGTTATAGCCATCTTAGATAGCAATGTGTCATACTTTTCAAGATAGTCAAGTAAGGCCCCTTGTTTCAATCTTGCGAGTTTGGTGACTGGATCATCAAATGCACCTGTATCAAATCTGCTCCCTACATCCTGAAGGATTTGGTGCCAAGATTTCCCTTTATTATTGGTGTTGTGCATGTAATGCCTTTGCCAAGAAAAAGCCTTGCCATCCATGGATAACAACAATAAACAACTTCATTGTTCTTCAGGGGTTCCCTCCAGTTCAAAGAACTGTTTTGCCTTCACTTTCCAATCATGAAAGTTGGAGCCATCGAAGGAAGGAAATGGGATTTGTGCCCGTTCAACCATCGAAAAAACCATTTCTGGCGATTCACCACGAGGTTCTTCTTCTTGTGTGACTTTCTTGGTCATATGTAAAGTTACTATCGCTGCCGTGAGCCCTTCAATAGACTTTTGCACCGTCTCTAGTGCAGTGTTGTCAAATGGCCGTTATGGTGATGCCATAACGGTATGGCAGCCATCGTCGCGATTTGTTATGGCTGTTTGGCCTGTGAATGGTGGGGGTTTGTCATTTTGCATATGGCGGCTGTTACGGCAATAACGGCATGGCGGTCCATGACGGTCATGGCACCGTTATGTTTTTTTTTTTTTTTTTTTTTTTTTT